CTTGGCTTTGCTTCATATGCATCTTATCCTCTAGTGGGCTAGGTTAGGCTTGTCCTCAAGATGACAGCAGATGCAAAAGAATGGAAGTCCAACTATGGAAGAGCTTTTTCAAGCTTCTATTTATATTTGTTAATATCCCAGCTAGTCACATGATGAAACTCACAGTCAAAGGGTAGAAGTATGATCACCTACTGTAATGATACACAGCAAGGGTGTGACTATAGACAAAGATGAGGATCTGGGACCAAAAATGCAAATTGCCACTCCTCTAGTTTCCCAAACTAATTAACTAATGGTACTACTTTGGGAGCCAGCCTTAATTCCTTCCTTCTATTTGCTATTTATATCTCTTCACCAAATTTTATAGATCCTCTCAACAAAACAACTCTGCAGACCATCATCCATTCTTTTTTTTTTTTCCCTATCTAGTATGGCATTCTCTTTAAATAAATTTATAATTTTGGGAAGGAGCAGTGCATTAAAAAGACAGACCCAGTTATCCTTTTCCTGGCAGAGATGAGAGAGAAAAGTACAACATATTGATGAACCTCAATTTTTATCTCCAGCTTTGAGATTTCAAATGCCCACCTGACATTCCTCTTTGGATACCCAATAGACATCTAAACTATTCATGTTCAGAAAAGAATAATCTATACACCCAACATGTTCCTCCCCTAGTCTTCCTGATTTCAATAAATTGCACCACTTTACACCTAATACTCAAGATCTACAAGTCATTCTTGATTCTTCTCTTTACCTAATCCCCCCACAACCTACTTAACAGCAAAGCTTGATGGTTGGGCCTTCAACATAAAATCCCAAATTCACTTCTGACCAGTTTTTGTAGTGTGGCCTGCCTCCTGCCTGGTCTTCTTATTTCTATTCTTCCCTCTCTCCCACAATCATGTTCCACATATTAGATGGAAGACTCTTTCAAAAACATAAGTCCTATCTTATTACCTCCCCGCTCAAGACCTTCCAGTGATTTCCTATTGCAGTAATAATAAAATTTAAATTCCTTAATGTGGCTTATAAGGTCATACATCCTCTAGTCACTATTTACTGTGCCATCCCTCTCATGTTTTACTCTCCCCTCTTCCAGCCTCCTTTCTGTTTATTAAATATGCCTAGTGCCTTCTCATTTGAGGATATTTGTAATTGCTCTCTCAACCTTAGGATTTCTCTACCCCTAGTTATTACCTGTTGGGGTCTTTGTCTTTCACAATTCAGCTATATTATAACTCTTCAAATAGTCTTCCCTGAATTGAAATATAAATTAACCACCTATCCTTCTCCTTGAGTTACTCTCTACACATTATTGTATTTCCTTTGTAACACATCTGTTAATGGAATTACCTTTTTTGTTTATTTCTTTATTGCCTGCCTCCCCTGACTAGAAAGTAAGCCCCATGGGTGCAGTAACTTTGTCTTCTTTACCATTATCTTCTCAGTGTTTAAAATAGTACTTGGTGAAATGAAGGTGATCAATAAATATTAAATGATTGAATGAGTGATGCACAGGGACATAGGCACGGCCAGCTAGATCAGGCTATTGACACTATTGATCAATATGGGGAAAGATGGTATTTCCACTGATTTGGTCATCATCTCTTCTCTCTCCTGGACTAATGTTAATAGACTATTAATGTTTCTCCCTGGCTTTAGTCAATTCCTCCTTCAACCCATTTCTACCCTTTCACTAGAATTTGTTGATGCTGTTCTCCTTCTCCTCCTCCCCTCTTCCTCATGCCAAAGCCCTCCTCCTCCTTTTACCCCTCCTCTTTCTTCTTCTTCCTTCCCTTCCTCTTCCCCTCTCCTTTTTTTTTTGTTTATAGATTTATTGATGTAGAATTTACATAAACTGCACATATTTAAACTTTACAATTGATGAGTTTTGACTTACTTTTATGCTCATGAGACATCACAATAAAGATAATAAACATATCCATTACCCACAAGTTTCCTCCTGCCGCTTTGCAATCCATCCTTCTCTCCCATCTCTCCATTCCCAAACAATCATTCATTCGCTCTCTGTCACTAAAGATAAGTTTGCATTTTCAAGAATTTTACAAAAATAGAATCTCACCATATATATTTTTTTAGTCTCACCACTTTCACTCAGCATAATTACTTTTAGATACATCTGTATTGTTGTATATATCAGTGGCTCTTCCTTTTTATTGCTGAGTAGCATTCCATTGTATGGATATACCACGCTTTGTTCTGATGGGTATTTGGGTTGTATACAATTTTCCAGTGAGCATACACTTTCATTTCTCTTGGGTAAACAAATATCTAGAAGTTGAATGGCTGAGTTATACAGTAATTATATCTTAATCTTTTAAGAAAATGTAAACTATTTCCAAAGTGCTTGTACTGAACATCTGTGAATAAAAAGTTTTACTTCCTCCTTTCAATATGGATCCCTTTTATTTATTTTTCTTTCATGACTGCACTTGCTTGAACCACCAGTACCACAGAAATAACAGAAATGGTAAGACCACATATCCTTGCCTTGTTCCTCATCTTAGGAGAGAAACATTCAGTTTTTCACCATTAGGTATGAAGTTGGCTATAGGATTCATAAAGGGATGTATATGCCCTTTTTTAGATTAAGGAAGTTCTACTCCTAATTTCCTAGAGTTTTTATCATGAATGGATGTTGGATTATGAAAAGTATTTTTTATGCATCTATAGTTCTCTTTCTAAAATATAAATGTAATCATTTGCTCTCTTGCTTAAAGCCCATCAAAATCTTCCCATCACTTTTAGAATAATGTCCAGGTTTCTTATCATAATTATGTATCTCCCACCACTTCTCAAAACATACCCTGTGCTATACTGCCACCAAACTACATATACAGTTAACCCTTGAGCAACACAGGTTTGCACTGCATGGGTCCATGTATAGGCAGATTTTTTTATATATATAAATACAGTACAGTACTGTAAATGTATTTTCTCTTCCTTATAATTTTTTTTAAGATTTTATTTATTTGAGAGAGTGAGCGAGAGAGAGAGAGAGCACAAGCCAGGGGGAGAGGCAGAGGGAGAAGCAGACTCTTTGGTGAGCAGGAAGCCCAATGCAACTTGCAACTCAGGGCTTGATCCCAGGACCCTGGGATCATGACCTGAGCCAAAGGCAGATGTTTAACCAACTGAGCCACCTAGGAGTCCCCTTGTGATTTTCTTAATGACATTTTTTTCTCTAGCTGACTTTATTGTAAAAATACAGTATATAATACATGTAACTTAAAGATCTGTCTTAATTGACTGTTTATGTTATTGGTAAGTCTTCTAGTCAATAGTAGCCTATTGTAGTTAAGTTTTGGGGTAATCAAAATTATGTGTGGATTTAACTGGGCCAGGGGTTAACACTCCTAACCCCCACCTTATTCAAGGGTCAACTGTAGTTCTATGAATGTATCAAATGCTATTTCAGGCCTCTGTGAATTTTCTCAGAAACCTGTTGTCCGGAATACCATCCTCCTCACCCCCAACCCTTAAACCTGTCCTAGATACCCAATATTCAAGTGAACTCCAGCTGTCTTCTTTTAAACTCAACTGAAACATCACTTTGTGATCATTCCGTCTTCAGCATTAAATTTGTGTTCATGCCTCTATTGTGGACATTACTAACCTGCATATAATTATTTATTTCGTTGTCTCCTTCTTCAATAGATGAGTGAGGACAATGTTTGGCAAAATGCTTAATAAAAAGTAGGCCCTCAAGGGGCGCCTGGGTGGCTCAGTTGGTTAAGTGGCTGCCTTTGGCTCAGGTCATGATTCCAGGGTCCTGGGAATGAGCCCCACATCGGGCTCCATGCTCAGCAGGAAGCCTGCTTCTCCCTCTCCTGCTCCCCCTACTTATGTTCCCTCTCTCGCTGTCTCTCTCTCTGTCAAATAAATAAATAAATAAAATCTTAAAAAAAAAAAGTAGGCCCTTGATATAAGTGAAATAACCCCTGTGAAACTCATTGAAGACTGAGAAGTTTTACAGAAAATTTCTTCATAAAAAGCTAAGACATTATTATTTTTATATTATATTCTCTTGCAAAAAATGTATTCTTTTCTAAAAGTGACTATGCAATGCAAATATTTATGAGATCCATATTTAGTATAATTATTATTGTCACAGCTCTGCTGATGCATTAATACCTAAAGCCAACATCAAAATCTAGCTCTATATTGTCCACCAGGGCCCCAGCAGGATTCTTTACATATATTTACAAATATTAATTCATTTAATCCTCATGAAAACCTTGTAAGCAGGTCATATTATTATCTCCATTTTACAAATACCAAAACACAAGCACAGAAAAATTAAACCATGGTACTAAAAGCAGCAAACCTTGTCTTTCAAACTAGGTAGCTGGGCTGTAGAGGCTAGTCTTCACTTCTATGATATATTTAATAATAACCTTTACAAAGCACAAAGTAAACATACCATTTCCATTTTTGTTTCTTTAGCTATAGTAACAGAGTATAGTTATATCTAATTGTGCTGCATACAAAAAAAAAGTATGGCTTCCAGATTCCGCACAGTGGAATTATGACTATATTATGAAATATAAGGAACACAAAAATGTTTCTTACCAACTTGAAATGTTCACTGACAACTAATAACTCAAAAGCCATGGCTTTAAAAACACTGGCTTAAAAACTTAACCTTCCTTCAATTTAGCATTTTAGGAAAAACTATCAAATAGAAGTGAGTTTAAAATAATTCTATGTGATACATTGGGTTTTATATGTACATACTACAGTTGTAAGGACATTGCTGAATCCTTGTATATTGGGTGTGTGAAATGTTCCATGAAACTAGAATACTTGTACAGACTTCACTTTGGGATAACATAATTAAGAAGGAGTAAGCACGAAAAACAGGAGTTTCAAATAGCCTTCCAAGTTAAGTATCCTTAATAACTTCCCTATTAATAATTTAATATAGTTCTGAAGATAGTAATGACTCATTTAAAAGACTATATGAAGTAGATTACCTGCAAATGGAATAGAACTTTTTTGTTTTTTTCTATTTCTGATGTTTGTGATTGTTGTTGCTTTGCAACTTGTTCTACAGCATCAGTTAATGAAGATGTGCCTTGGTTAGCCAGAGCTGAACAAAAGAATAAAGTATATAAAAAAATGAAAGTTGCAAACACTCTAAGAAAGTTATTGTTTCTTCACACATAGTCATGAAAAATGTGATGTTTCTCTAAATAAAGTAGATTTAGGGTTGGTAATATTACCTTTCTGACTACAAACAAAACCAAAATCAAAAGCCATAATAATACACAATTCAGAATTGCCTACTGTAATGTTATACCTGTTCCTGTATGGAACAGGATAAATATTTTGATAGTCCTCATTTTTTTAATCCAGACCACTTATACATATACATAATTACAGTGCTACCATAATAACCGTATAGCAATTATAGTTGATGAATTTTCAGTACAGGCCTGCATTTTTAGGTTGTTATAAAGCCTTTTCTAAACACCATGTAAGTTTCTTCCTGGAGAAATGTAATATAATAGCTTCCCTCTATTCTCTTTGGCTATACATGTTAACACAATTATCCTATCATACTACCTTTTTGTTGCTGCTTATCTTTTAATTATTTATTTCTTAAGATTGCTTCATACCTTCTTCAGGAATTCCTTGACTCTTCCTTTCTTTGTTGCCTGACATTCTACTTTGTCTCTTTCTCCCTTTTTTGTTCACCTTCTTTATGCCTACAAAATAATCAATATTGACAAATTTTCACTCTTCTTTGTTTTTTTTTCCCCCATCATTTATCCTGGTGATACTGAAAGCAAATTCACTGTCAAATACCTCATAGGGATGGCAATGATATTTCATCATTGTTCCAAGAATTAAAACACAATGGTTAAGTCAGAGAGTTTTAGAGAAAATAGAACTGTATTTGAATCTTGGTTCTCCTACTTTTTAGCTGTTATGATTTTGAGCAAGTTTCTTAACCCTTTTGATCATCAGGGTCCTCATCTGTAAAACCTCACAGGACTGTCATAATAAAGTAATATACGTAGCATGCTTAGCATAGTACCTTACATATATAGTGAGTAATTCATTACTATGGACTCTGTCTAGGGTTTCCTTTGCTAGTTCCTCCTCAGCTTTCTCATCTAGGTCAGTGTCCCAGTGCTAAGTCTTTAGGCCTCTTCTCTAAACTGACTCTTCAGGTGATGTCATCTAGTTGCATAGCTTTAAAATCCACTTACAGGTTTTATCTTATTTATATCTCTAACTTGAACATCCTTCTTGAGCTCCAGACTCATTCTAAATTGCCTACTTGGTATCTTCACTTGGATTTTTAGAGTCATTTCAACTTAATACATCCCAAGCTGAACTCTTGATGTCTCTGTTCACTCCATCACCACCACTAAACCTCCTCCTTCATAGTCTCTTCCTTTCAATAAATTACAAGTTTTTCTTGTTCAGGCCCAAAACCCTGGAGACATTAGCAAGGAGGTCTCTAGAAGAGTGTAGAGTCCATGGAAATTCAACAAGACTTGCCCAAGATAATCATAAATGAGAGCTCACTGTTGATGTTTCATAGGCCCTTTGGGAAATCCTTTAAGACATTTTCCAAGTATATGGCCCAGGACTTCTCCCCAATTGTTTACTCAAAGGACAAACCAGAATCTCGACTTTTCTCTTATATGCTGCATGCAATTCTTTTAGCAAAACTCATTGGTTCTACGTTTAAATTATATTGGAATCCACTCACTGCTTACTACTTCTAAATAGTATCTTAGTAGAGAAGCCTTCCCTCATAACCTTTAAAACAGGACCTCTCCTCCTTCATTCTCCGTTTCCTTACCCTGCCTGATTTTTTTTAATAGCATTTGCCACCACTGATATTTTATATACATTTCTTTCTTTTCTATCTCCTTTTACTAATGTAAGCTCCACCAGGCAGAGACCCTAGAACAGTGCCTGGCACTTACTTAATAGGTGTCTATTTGTAGTCTATCTCCACTCCAATTTACCCTGTTCTAATGATAGAATTATGCTCCTAAAATACTGTTCCCACCATGTCAACATCACAGCCAATCTTTCAACTCCATCATAGATGGCATCTTCTTTAAGAAGTCTTTCTTGATCTTTCTTGGTAGATATGATCCTTCCCTCTCTTTAGTGCAATTGTTTCTATATCTCTATAACAGTTTAGGTCATACAGTAAGATAGAGCTAGCTTTGAACTCAGGTTGTACCACTTACTACTTTATTAGGTAAATTCTTTCCAAGCTAGGCCTAAGATTCTTTATCTATAAAACAGAAACAATAGTGATACCTGTCTCATTAGGACTATTGGGAGGACTACATGAAATAATGCATGACAGCATTTAGCAAATTCCTGCTACTCAAAAGTTTTTGTTCTTATTATTTCCATTACTTTATACTATATTTCCCCATTAAACTTTAAGCTCCAGGAAGACAGATATAATGTCTTACACATTTTTGTATTCCCTAAAAAATTTGGTTTAGAAATCTAAAAAATGAAGAAAATTAAATTTCTATAACAAAAAATAAAATAACTGATACTTCTTGATCTTTATTTCTGAAGGAACATAAATTGAAAAACTCTTGGGTGACATTTATTTAAACCAACTATTTGTGAAAGGATATCTACTTTATTTTTCTTTTTAAGATTTTATTTATTTATTTGACAGAGAGAGACACAGTGAGAGAGGGAACACAAGCAGGGGGAATGGGAGAGGGAGAAGCAGGCTTCCCGCAGAGCGGGGAGCCCAACGCGGGGCTCAATCCCAGGACCCTGGGATCACGACCTGAGCCGAAGGCAAACACTTAATGACTGAGCCACCCAGGCGCCCCAAGGATATCTACTTTAAAATTGGGAAAGTTTTAGGGGCGCCTAGGTGGCTCAGTTAGGTAAGTGTCTGCCTTTGGCTCACGTCCATGATCTGGTCATGGGTGGGACTGAGCACCAAGTGAGGCTCCCTGCTCAGGGGTGGAGTCTGCTTCTCTCTCTCCCTCTGCGCTTCTCCCCGCCTTCCCCATTTGTGCTCTCTCTCTCAAATAAATAAATAAAATCTTAAAAAAAATAAAATTAAATTGGGAAAGTTTTTGTTTTTTCTGGATCTCTATTGTAGAATGGACAAAAGATAAAAATGAAAACTATTGCCACCTACTGATAATTCATTACAATTGTTTAAATCAATGAAAACAGAGTTTAGACTAGACAGTATCAAACTCTTTCATTCAAACCATATATGTAGGTTCATATAATATGCAAGGTATTGTGAGGAATATAAAGATGAATTAAGTGACTCTGATTAAAAAAAGTATCTACAGTATTCCATAGTAAATGTCCAATTTACATCTAAAACACATTTAGAAAAAATATTTTTAACTAAGAAAATTAGCTTTACAGAAAACAATGTAATGCAGATACTATATTAAACTACCATTCTCTTATAATAACTATAGTCAACATTTATTGAGTACTTACAAGTAACTAGCATTTTTCTAAGTGCTTTTACATGAATTATCTTCATTTTCCCTCAGAGCAATCCTATAAGCTAGATATTATTTTTATTTATATTTTGTAGATGAGTAAACTAAGACTTGGAGAAATTAAGAAATTAGCCAAAGGCCACACATCCAACAAGTAGGAAGGATGGAATTTGAAACAATTAGGATCCAAATCAACATTTATTAGGCACTTAATATGCACTAAAGCACTGGGATAAGCATGATTTGTGCATTATCTCTTTTCCATTGAAGAGGCAAACCCCTCTATTTGACCCTTGGGAGAATTTAAAAAGGCCATGGTTCCAGCTTTTGGAAACTCATCATCTGGTACCTCCTCCACGTTAATGAGCAAAATAAAGCAAGATTGTCAAACTACTCTGGGGCTTTTGAGAGCTTTTAGCTTAGAAGAATTAAGAGGCAATTGTACATGTGCATCCATATCACATAGGCACTGTTTTTGATTCTGAATGGGAAAAGCTATCATGTGAACCTGCTAGGTAGTTAAAGTAGTTAAGTTTATAATTTCATTCTACCCCTTTAGAATAGATACTTTATCAGAAAACAGATAATTTTTCCTTGTGTGAAACTGTTTTCTAAGGGGGGTAAACCTGACATTTAACTGAGAAAGCTAAAAATTAGCCTAGGGCAAGATGAGATAAAAAAGTTCCTTGGTATCAAGCAAATTTTAAATTATGGTCTATATTTGCCATAAGCATGATGAAATCAGATTTGAGTGGTTCAATTCCAACAAGATAATAGTGGGAAAAATGTGACACACTGTGCAAATGAGTAAGAATAAGACATATTTCAGGTAAAAAAAAGACCGTAAGTATTTTCAACCACATGTTTTCAAGAGAAGTTACAACATTATCAGAGTCATCCAAAGGATTTAATTCACTGAATCATTAAAAATTTATTCATACCTGTTATATACTTGTGTGTTAGGATCTGCTAGGACTAGGTATTACTCTCTTCTTTGACTAGGCAGTGAGATTAAGGTTTCAGGATGCTGAAAACAAAATAAAACAAAAACCCAGAGGATTTGTACTGTTCTTTAACTTCCTATCAAAGACAATACAGACAACAATAATATATTATCCACATTGCTTCTAGCTTTCTACCAAAGGTGAGATTTCTCTGAATGTTCTGATAGTGCTGGACTACCTTTTAAAGTGTAGACATACAGAGACTGATCAGCAGCTTGAATCCAAGCTTTAAGGGATGGCTAGGCCACTGTTTCAAATAGAAATTCTAGGCCTATGACGAAATCCAGTCATAACCTACCTGCTTGTTTCATTGAGAACAGTAAGAAGCAAGGTCTTCTGTTACTGTACAAGTAAGCATGATTTCTAAACCATAAGGAGCTTGTAGTGGGTTGAATGGTGCCCCCCCATAAGTCTATATCCTAACCTCCAGAACCTGTGAATGTGGTCTTATTTGGAAAAATAGTCTTTGCAGATGTAATTAAGTTAAGTATCTTGGATGAGATCATGGTGGATTTAGGGTGGGCCCTAAATCTAATGACAGGTAAGAGACTGGCTATGTAAAAAGTGGTCAGACCATATATAAATACAGCACTTTCACCCACAACCTGCAGCAACCAATTCAGGAAACCAATCTGCTATCTACAGTAACCAGATTAGGAAGCCATACTGCTATCTATGTCAGACTTGTAGGAAGCCAGACCACTATCTCTAATAACAATTCCAGAAGCCAAACAATAAGTCCTATAACAATTGGCCCCAAATGACCAGTATTTGATGAATAACTAACAGCTTCCCTAATTTGGGCCAATCAGAGAAAGCCAAAATGTACACTCTTAACCAATCACATAGGAAGTCCCGCTTCTAGTTAGCCTACCTACAGCTTCCCCATGCCAGTAGCCTCCAATCGGGATATACCTGAAGATTTCCCCTTTTTCCACTATTAAAGTTTTCCTACTCTGCCAACACACAAGTGATGGTGGCTGACTCCCTTGCCATAGCAAACTCTGAATAAATAATTCTTTGCTTGTTCTCATATGGCTGGTCATTATTTCCACACAGTTGTTTTTACAGCAGAAAGGCAGAGAGAAATTTGAAACTCAGACACACATTAAGAAGACCATATGAGTATGAAGACATAGAGTCCCAAGTCACGCAGCTATATACTATCAAGTTCATCCTTATAAAGTGTACACTTCAGTGTTTAATTGACTTTTTCAACTTATTACTAGGCTATGGGTCCAGACTGCATCAATGAGAGGGTTTCTTTTGTATGAACAAAATGCTAAGGAAGAAGCAATTAATTCTGCCTGGTGAAGGAATGGGGATCCAAGGAAAGTTATGATTGAGCTTGAAAGATCTTAAATAAGTAGCAGTTAGGTAAGCATAAAAAGAGAAGGGTGTTCTAAGTAAAAGGAATAGCATATGTATAGGGTAAAATCTCATAGCTCATCCAAGAAACAGCCTCCAGTTTGAGTGGCTTGGGAATGAGGCAGTTGTTTTTCAAACCTAATTATGCATCTGAATCATCTGTATAGATTAAAACAAAATAAACAGCAAAGAAAAACATGCACAGACTTGACTCCCAGAGATTCTGATTCAAATGTATATCAAGTGGAGTCCCTAGATTTAGTTTTAAGTTCTGCTTGTAGTTCTGATGTACAGCCAGGAGAACCACTGAAGTGGGGTGAATGGAGATGAGGTAAGAGAGTTAGATGGGGGTAGACAGTCTAGGAACAAATGGTGAAAGGAAATGCTATGTAAATACAACACAATGACAAACTATCTCTTCCCTGCCAGCTTTCCTATTTTGAAATTTTTTAAATTTTTTACTGCCACTACTGTTTCATGAAAGAAAATGAATTCCCATCATTGTCTATAAAAACAGGGTTGTACCTCAAAAGATCTCTATTTTGCTTAAGGTAATATTTAACATAAAACAAACTCAGAGAGTGCAGAGTGTCCCTTCTGATCAGGTGTACCATCTACCGCTCAGGGCTCTTAAATTCCCCACAAAAATCATGAAAATACAAATTTGGCAAAAATATCTGCCAGGGATACTGAACAGCATGTTCCTATTCTGGGTTGGTGATCCCATTACCTAGTCAAAGAGAGTGGAAGCACTTGCCCACCTCCAAGTGCTCTTCTAAACTCCTAGATATCTAGGACTCTTTCTCTTTCAGGCAAAACTTCTTCAGCATTTACGGTCTGAGCAACAATAAAGACAAAAGGGACCTCTCCTTCCACCATAACCAGTTCCACAGGAAGCATCCTTTCTCCTACTCTTCAATGGCTGAACAGATTGTCCCTTTATCTTAGCATCTGCCCTCCATGTAGTAGTAGCTGTTCGCTATTTCTAAATAAATGTTATACTCTTTGAGGTTAGACAAGGGATGCTAATTTATCACAATTCTAAGAGTTACTGTCTTCTAATTTCCTACTAGTGGCACAGATTTTAAACGGCCATACAAGACTTTGTCAGTACAAATAAAGGAGCTGTAAAGAGTGTTCGTCCAGTCAGCAAGTAAGGTGGAATCCGCAAAAAGGCAAAGGAAGGTTCAACCCAAGTGTTTCTGGGAACAACAACAACAACAAAAAACCACACTGTAAAAAACACCAAGAACAACAAACAAACTCCACCCAAGGAGGCCGATTACTTGAACCCTGGATGGGGCGAACTGCCAAGGGCTAACACAGGCTGGTTCTCAGGGTTGGGCTCTGGTGATTAAACCAAGTGTCTGACCCACACTGCTCGTCCTCAGGCTCTGGGGAACGGGCTTGGGGAGAGGGCTTCCATTCGCAGAAGGGAATCTGCCATTTGTTCCCCGGGTCGCTCCCGCCTCCCTGCTCTCCTCAGGGGCCCGCCCGCCTTCCCGCCGCCCAGCCCCCCCTCACTGGCTCGCTCTCCTGCTGCCCTGCTCCCCTCACCCGCCCATCAGCCTTCCAGCCGCCCTACTCCCCTCACTGACCCGCCCTCCCGCCGCCCTGCTCCCCTCACCCACCAGCAAGCCTCTCAGCCGCCGGGCTCCACTCAGTGGCCAGCAGGCCTGCCAGTCGCCCCGCTTCTCTCACCTTCGCGCCCGACGTCCCTCCCCACTCAAGGGCCCGCCTTCCGCCCCGCCCCCGTCACGGGCCCGCCTCCCTCCCAGCTTCCCTCGTGGTCCAACGCCCCGGCCCAAGCCAGCTGACCCGGCTGGCTCCTGCTAGAGGGCTCTGGTTCCTGTTTCTCTTGTCTCGACCGGGCGGCGGAGGACGGCCTCGACTGGCTGCGCTGACCCGGAATTGCTGAGGCGACTGCGAAGGCTAGCGCTCGGCTCCTCCCGGGCTTTCCCCGCGCCTCTCGGTGCCCAGCCCTCTTCCCCCGAACTCGCTCGTGCCTCCTTGCGGGTCTCCGGCCTAACCCAGTCCGGTCCTCCGCAGTCGCGGAGCCCCAGCCGTCGTGCCCACGCCAGGCCGGGCGCCCGTGGTCGCTCAGCGGTGAGGTGGGTGAGGTGGGGCAGGCGCTGCTGCGGCGGAGTCATAGGGTCGGGCTTAGAACTCCAGGTGCCACGCTCGTGGCTTCCGGGTTCCGTCCACGCTCTGGGCGTGGGGTGGCGGCGGCTGGGCGCCTAGGAGCTCCCGGAAGACTGAGAGTACAAGTCAAGGCGGACCGCCGGCAGGCGGGACGGGGAAAACTGCCTGCGTTGTGCGTCGGTGGGTCAGAAAGTCCCAAAGGGGCGGGGTGGAGGCGGTGGAGGCGCCGGGGCTGGTGGGGGCGCCGGGGCAGGTGGGGGCGCCGGGGCAGGTGGAGACCGAGCGCAGGACCGGGCGGGGCGGGGAGCACAGATGCTTTTTGTGGCATTTCCCAAGGCAGAAGGGAGTATGGTCGTCACCCCCCTCGCTGCTCTCGTTTTTCAGAATTGGCGAAATGAACCTCAGTGGGAGCCCAGTACGGTACGGAGTGGAGGTTGGGAGTGGCTGCAGGAGAAAAGCGTCCCGGGCCAAGGGGGTCACCACCAAAGGCGGCCCCTGAAGAGAAACCGACTGCCAGGGCCGGGGGGGGGGGGCGGGTGGTGGTGGTGCTGGTACCGAGTAAGGAAGTAGGTGGGTAGCACGTCTGATCCAAATCGCTCACCTGGAGTGCTGTGTAAATCCTGGAATCGTCTCAGCTTTTATCCCCTTATAAAACGTAAATTTTAGGTGCAGCTCCATTAACCTATTGAAGGCCCCGATATTTCATATGAAGGGTATGACCTAACATGCCAGTCATGTCAGGATTAATGATATACATATAAGATAAATTGACACCCTGTAATTAAAAAGCAGAACTTTGTCTAAGTTAATAAGTAATTCCGTACTTAAAATTTGCTGTATGGAAAAACATCACACACACACAGAGTAACCGTTGTTCTGCTGGAAAGATGTACAAATCACTTTCATAAAACGAATTAAGAGATGGTTCCACTCTTATGGTTCTCTTAGGACAAATAATGGACTATCTTTGCTTGGAATCGTCTAGATCTACTATTTTGTTACGTTTTTAGATCAGTGAAACTTTTTTTTTAAAACGTAGGTACAAATTTGTAACTGAGAAGATTGATATAATTTTGCATTCTTAGGCTAATTTTTCTTTATAGGTGATTTCTTAGGAGGTACAGAAATCTTCTTTGAAGGGCTTTGTACGGTATTGAAGGATGGCAGAAGCAGTGTTGATTGATTTCTTTGGTTTGAAATTTAACTCTCAGAAAAATAGTCATCAGGCATTACTGAAGACATTGAATGCTGTCAGATACCACCATGCTGCCAAGGCCAAGTTTCTTTGCATAATGTGTTGCAATAACATCAGCTGTGGAAGGGATGGTGCACATAATAACTGTGAATTAGAAGCAAGCAATGGATTATCAACTCTCTTGAGAGAATTTGAGACTGTTAGCAATCCTAGTATGGCTGCCTCTTTGTATACTATTAAGCAAAAAATTGATGAAAAAAATTTGAGCAGCATTAAGGTAATTGTACCCATGCACCGGAAGACATTACTGAAGGCTTTTATTGATCAACTCTTCACCAATGTTTACAGTTTTGAGTTTGAAGACTTACAGGTGACTTTGAGGGGCAGTCCTCTGAAACAATCCACTGAAATAAGCATGATCACAGCTCAAGAAGTAGAAGCAATCCAGAATGAAATACAAACATATTTGAGAAGTCTGCCAGCGCTGAAAGGAGAGTTAACCATTATCACATCTCCTTTGATCTCGGGTATGTTAAACACTGTGTTGTTTCTACTGTATACATGAAAAAACTAGTCTTTCTTTAGAGGATGTTTGCCTTTTTTTCCCCTCCTTTCTTTTGTAGATTATAGGTTTATGAGCTCATTGGCATCAGTTGCAACATGGGAGTGTGAGGGATGTCAAGGGATATCAAGGGATAGTCCCTTCAAAGCCACCCTTAATAAATTTGTTTTATGCAAATTCAGTTTTAAGACAAATCCCCCAGCCTTCCTTTAAAATGAGATTTATGACCCTAAGCATCTCCTATTTAGAAATTTTGATACCTTAACTCATTGGCACCTTCACAGAAGAATGAAATTTTAAAAAAGTCAATCTTCTTGGTTAAATGATATTTAGTGTGGGCTATATGCTGTTAGGATTAACAAAGACAAAGGGGACAGAAGATACTCTGAAGAGCAATAATCCCATGGGGACGGTAAAGAAAACACAAAGCCATATGTAACAAGAACACATGAGGTACACAGTGCTGTAGAAATTGGAAGCCAGGAAAACATGCAGCTTGAGGTGATCATGGAAAGTCTTAGTGAGACACTGGGTTTATAACATTTTATAATCTTTTGTATAGCGTATTTTTAATCTTTATTACTTCTATTCAACAGATATTTTCTTACATGGATTTACTACAAGAACAGGTGGAATATCTTACATCCCAACTCTTAGCTCATTCAATCTCTTCAGTAGTTCCAAAAGGAGAGATCCCAAGGTTGTTGTTAAAGAAAATCTGCGTAGGTTGGGGAATGCTGCAGGATTTAATGTGGAGAAATTTTACCAAATAAAGGTAAAATTTTGTTTCATGTTTTAGAAGATCTACAATATATTCTTGACTGTGCTAATGACTACATGGACTTTAATCAAGCTATTTAACTTTGCATCTGGTGTTTTATCTAAAATTTTAGGATAATGCTTATGGTTGTTTTTCTTAGATCCATACACTATAGCCTAAAAATCAATTCTATGATAGATATCTTTCACCTGAAGTTCAATGTATCTAAAAGTACAGTCAATTCTTATAGTACCACTGCCCTTTTTGATTTAGAAGGAAGATTCCAGAATGGTGGGAAAGGCCATTATTTTCTAAATCAACATTAGGAGGAACTAGGATCTCTATTGATGCTTTGTTTCTTACAGAATTCTAGCTTTATTTGGGTCAGGGAAAGTAAAAATATCTTTAATTTGGTAATTAACTTCTTTCCATAAATAGTACTTTATGGAAAGTGCTACAAGTAGAGATTTACCCATCTCTAGTAGGAGATATTTGTGATGGACTTTATTAAATTGTTAAGTGTTAAAGTCTGTTTTCCTTTTCATAAAATATGCAGAGATTATAATACCAAAAGTTAAATGACAAGTAAATTTGGTATTTTACCATAGAAGTCATCTTTTTAATGCTTACTAGTAATATTAAACTAGTTTTATAATTTCATACAAAATGAGTATTTTCAGAAAAAGCTTATGGTATGAGAAATTCTTCTTTCAAAATATTTTTATCACACATCTTTGGTATTAGACTGATCATGCCAGTGACGTCTGGATTATGGGAAGGAAGGAACCTGAATCTTATGATGGAATCACCACAAATCAGAGGGGAGTCACAATAGCAGCTCTTGCTGCTGACTGTATACCAATTGTTTTTGCTGATCCTGTCAGGAAAGCATGTGGTGTTGCTCACTCTGGTAAGTGTATTTAATTAAGCATTTAGGATTTTACCAGTTTTGTAGTATAGGAAAAATTATAATTTCTTTCTGCTGGGCATGACAGTTAATTACTTTACATGGTATTAAGTGTGAAAATAGGGATAGAGCCAGGATACTTTTATTATAGGAGCAGATAAAAGCAGTACCTAAGTCAAATTATGTGAATCAGAGTAGAATTCCCAAAGGAAGCAATACCCAGGCTGATTCCTGAGGAATTTGTAGGACTTGACTAGGTGCCAGGGTTTCTCAGCAGGGTCGCTATTAACATTTTGGGCAAGATAATCTTATATTGCAGTTTGCTTGGCTTTCAAAATTCCTAATGCCAGTAGCACCCCCAGTTGTAATAACAACAAAAAAAGCGCCTACATGCTTTTCATAGCACTCCAAAGGGAGTGGTACTGCCTCTGGTTGAGAACCCTTGAAGTCTAGGCAATGGGGAATAGGAAGATAAGGCATGTTGGAGAAAGGTATTCATGAAGATGAAGGTGCAACAGCATGTGTAAAGAGTTAAGAAGCAAGATATGTTTGGAAAACTGCATTTAGTTTAATATGTTATAGTCTAGTGCCTTTATTCTGTATAGTTAAGAACAAAGAATTTTTAAATGTTGTGTTAAGGTATGGAATTTTGTTTTCTGAAGGTATTTTAAAATGCTATTTGGATTATCCTGTGGTTATGACTTTGTGAAATGAGGGATGATCTTTTAGAGTTCCTTCTGCTTGTAAATCTCTGACTTCTTTGCTTTTTAGACAAAAGATAAATAAGGAAGTGGCATATTTTTCTTTTGATCTAGCTAAACTTATAGGATTGGATGACTAGCAGTCAGATTTATGATTTGACAGTATCAAAAAGTTATTTAACATTTGAGTCTTATTTCCTAGACATAAAAAGAGAATCTTATTTGTTATTTCTTAGGTTTTGAAACATTATTTTTAAATACCAAAGATTAAAGCTGTCAAAATGAAACACTCTTGAATAAAGTTAAAGGTCTGACACTTTATGATTTTTAAAACTTGTTATAAAGCCACAGTAATCAAAACAGTATGGTAATGGCCTAAAGACAGACATATAGACCAATGGAATAAAAGAAAGAGCCCAGAAATAAACATTTGCATATATGATCAAAAGATTTTTAACAAGGTACCTAGAGTATACAGTGGGGAAAGGACAGTCTCCAACAAATAGTGCTGAGAAAACTGGATATTCACATGCAAAAGAATGATGTTAGATCCTTATCTTACATCATATATAAAAATTAACTCAAAATAGGTTAAAGACCTGGCGCATGGGTAGCTCAGATGGTTGGGCATCTGCCTTCAGCTTAGGTCTTGATCCCAGCGTCCTGGGATTGACCCCACATCAGGCTCCTGGCTGGCTCAGCAGGAAGCCTTCTTCTCCCTCTCCCTCTGCCTCTCCTCCTGCTTGTGTGCTCTGTCTCTCTCTCAAATGAATAAATAAAATCTTAAAAAAAAAATGGGTTAAAGACCTAAATGTAAGAGCTAAATCTATGAAACTTACCAAAGAAAACAAAGTGTAAATCCCTGTGAACTTGGATTAGGCCATGGTTTCATAGAAACAACACCAAAAGCACAAGAAACAAGAATAAAGACATAAATTGGAATTCATCAAAATTAAAAAACTATGCATCAAAGGACACAGTCAGCAAAGTTAAAAGGCAACCCATGGAAAGGGAGAAAATATTTGCAATTCATATATCTGATAAGGGGTTAATGTCCAGAATATATTAAGAACTCCTACAACTCAACAACAGAAAATATCAATAACCCAGTTAAAAATGGGCAAAGGGCTTGAATAGACATTTCTTCAAACATAAGCAAATGGCCAGTAAGCAAATGGTGAAAAGATGCTTAATGTCACTAGTAATTAGGGAAATGCCATCAGAACTATAATGAGATATCACCTCACACCCATTAGGATAGCTAATACTAAAAAAACAAAAAATAACAAATGTTGGTGAAGATGTGGAGAAATTAGAACTCTGATGCACAGTTGGTGGGAATGTAAAGTGGTATAGCTGTTATAGAAAATAGTATGGTGGTTCCTCAAAAATTTTTAAATAGAATTACCATATGATCCAGCAGTTCTACTTCTGGGTGTCTATCCAAAAGAATTGAAAGCAGGATCTTGAGAAGATACTTGCACACCCGTGCTTATAGCAGAATTATCCATAATAGCAGAGAGGTGGAAGCAATCTAGGTGTCCATGGATGGATGATTAGATAAGCAAAATGTGATACATACATACAATGGAATATTATTTAGCATTAAAAAGGAAGGAAATCCTAACACCTGAATGAAGACCTTGAAGACATTATGCTAAATGTAATAAGTCAGTCATAAAAAGACCCTGTAAGATTCCACTTATATGAGGTATCTAAAGTAGTCAAATTTATAGAAACAGAAAGTAGAATGGTGGGTACAGGAGTGCTGGGGGAAAGTGGTAAGGGGGAATTGTTATTTAATGGGCACAGAGTTTTAGTTTTGCAAGATGAAAAAGTTCTAGAGCTTGGTAGCACAACAATGTGAATATATTTAATACTACTGAAGTATACACTTAAAAAGAATTAAAATGGTAAATTTTAAGCTATGTGTATTTCCCCCCAATTTAAAAAAATGTGAATAAAAAGTGAAGGAGAGCAAGAAGACTAACATGGTATAATCCCAGTGGAAACTGAAAGTGTAGAATATTTTTAAAGGAAGTGGAAGGGACCTCCCATTAAGTATCTCTCCCATGTCAGATGCTTTGCATAGTGTACCTCATTTAAAAACCAGTGTTTTAGGGCGCCTGGGTGGCTCAGTCGGTTAAGCGACTGCCTTCGGCTCAGGTCATGATCCTGGAGTCCCGGGATCGAGTCCCGCATCGGGCTCC